TCCTTTTTACAACTCTTATCATTATCATTATCATCATCATTATTATTATTTATCGTTATTGTCAATATTATCATTATCGTTATTGTCATTATTATTATTATCGTTATCGTTATTGCGCATTATTATCATTATTGTCATTATTATTATAATCGTTATTATCATTATTTATTATCGTTATTATTATTATTATCGTTATTGTCATTATTATTATTATCGTTATTGTCATTATTATTATTATCGTTATTGTCATTATTATTATTATCGTTATTGTCATTATTATTATTATCATTATTATCAATATTATAGCAATCATCATTATTAGTATCATTATTGTTATTACTTTTCTTCCTTGCCATCTCATCATCATTATTATCATTATTGTTGCCATCTCATCATCATTATTATCATTATTGTTATTACTTTTCTTCCTTGCCATCTCCCTCATTCGCCGACGAAGCCGTGTTCCTCCCTCGCGGCGACGGCTCTCCCGGCTCGCGAGGCTTCACTGGCCGGCGGATGACCTCCTTCGGACACGAGTGGCGCCGAGGTCATACTTTTGAATAAATGCGAAAATGAAAATAAAGATATGGATAAACGAGGCATAATAATAACAGAATTAGTGATAAAACAAAATTGAATTAAAAAAAGAAGAAGAAGAAAAAAGAAAAAAGCGGTTTTTCGCGAGAAAATAAAGATATGGATAAACAAATGATAATAATAACAGAATTAGTGATAAAACAAAATTGAATTTAAAAAAGAAAAGAAGAAAAAAAAAAGAAAAAAGCGTTTTTTCGCGAGAAAATAAAGATATGGATAAACAAATGATAATAACAGAATTAGTGATAAAACAAAATTGAATTAAAAAAAGAAAGAAAGAAAGAAAAAAGCGGTTTTTCGCGACACAAAATACTTCACTCAGATAAGCACCGAGCGAAACGCAAAGAAACGGGAAAATACCTTGAAATGAAAGGAATTTCGCGAAACATTACGAAACAGCGTTTCCAGAACGTGTGAAAAAACTTCGTGTGTGGCGGATTTTCCTTCTTTTTCTCCTTTTTTCTTTTCTTCCTTCCTTTTTTCTTATTCTTCTTTTTCTTTGGCATTATCAATTTATTTGCCTTTAGCCATCATAACCATCGTTAGTAGTAGTAGTAGTAGTAGTAGTAATGATTGTTATTAATTTCATCATTATTATCAATCATAGCCATCATAACCATCGTTATCATTGCTACTTTTTGAATATTATCTATTATCATTAACATTATTATCATTATCATTATCATTATAATCACTATCAATTATTACTATTAGCATTATTATTATCATTATTGTTGCTACTGCGATCATTATTGTTGATATCATTACTGTCATTTGCTTTCATTAGTTTCATTGATGTCATTACCATTAATAACGTAACATATATTATCATTATTACTATTATTATCCTTATTATTGTTACTATCCTTTTTTATCAGTATTGTTGTTGTCTTTGTTATCATCATTATCATTATTATTATTGTTATCATTATCATTGTTATCATTATCATTATAATCATCATTATCCCTAGCATAGTCTTGCTATCATTATTATTAGTTTTTATCATTATCTTTACTGTCATTATTATTATTATTATTATATCATTATTATTATATCATTTATTATTATTATTATTATTATTATTATTATCATTATTATCATTATTATTATTATTATTTTATTATTATTATTATTATTATTATTATTATTATTATTATTATTATTATTATTATTATTATTATTATTATTATTATTAGCATTGGCATTACCATTATTGTTGTTGCTGTTGTTCTCATAGTTATTCTATCATTAGCATCCCTCCTTTTGCTACCATTACTACCATTACTACAGGTTTTATTTCCATGATTAGTGTCATTATCATAATTGTTATTGTCATCAATAATATATCAGTGTAATATCTATTTCAGATATTTATTTTCACATATAAATTCAGTATTCATCCAGCAACCTGTTAAGTGCGAAATGCATTGTTTATATATATATATATATATATATATATATTATATATATATATATATATATATATATATATATATAATATATATTCTGTCAATTCATTCCATGTTTATTTTTTTCCACGAAAATTGTAAACAAAATTAGATTTGCGAAAGGAAAGTCACACAAAAGGGATATAAAGCAATGTATTATTTTCACTCACCAGACTCACAGTGACAAGATAATCAATTTCTAAAATTATTAATTACTAACCTGATTATTTCTCGCTTCGTATCCAAATTGTCGCCAAATATCTGTGGGTAGGATGGCGGGGACAAGACGAGAGGGAAAAAATATATGATCTATTTTCCCTCAAAACGAGAATCCGACGAAATATAAAAAAGAAAGACTAGAAAAATGAAAAATAAATCCACATGCATCCAGGTGAATCCTCTATACAACCCTAGAAAAACGTCAACAAAGCGCGGAGTCGCATCTTCGGACGAA